GAATTTTCTCATACATTTTCTTGCAGTGCTCCATAAGGAAAAAGTGAAAAATACAGTTTAGGATTATTTATCACTGGATAAAAAGTTTAATTAAATATCACATGTACAATATGTCACTATTGACACAAAGTATACTTACTTTGTTGAAGCATCCACAGAATAAAGTTGTCTTGGGTCAGATGCTAAAAGGTTTTCCCCTCATGTTCTGTCAGGTTTATCATTTCCAGACGTGGTGTTTGTAACCTTTCCACATTCTTCTTACCCTGTATTCTGACTGGTCTCCCCCTGCAGTCGCTGACAAACCTCTCCACAGCATGATGCTGCCACCACCATACTTCATTGTGGGGATGGTATTTTCCTGTGTTCTGGTGTTTTTGAAGTTTTTATAGTTTCTAATGAAGGAGGGTACTATGCTCTTCAAGACCTTCAATGTTGCTGCATTGTTTTTGGATATTCTCCAGATCTACGCCCCTCCAGACAGTCCGTTGTAGGACCTTAAATAAACAAGTGTGTCCTAAATCAAGTTGGGTGTTGTTTCAGAAACATCTCAATACCATGTGGAAAGAAGCTGTATATAACATTGAGTATCAAAACAAGCAAATTTATTTGTTTACACATGTACATGAGTGTTCACTTTTGTTTTTTTTTAAGAAGACAACAATAAATTATGTGACAATACCAAAAGTAAAACAAGTGAAAGTGATTGAATACTTTCCTTCATGCCTTTACGTTCTACAAAACCTTAATGGCATTGTTTAATCCATCTCCAGGATACACACAGTCCGATCGCACAGCAGGAGTGCTCATTTTCCAAGGTTCTGTGTCATTAGTTTATTGAGTCTTGCATTATTCAAAAGTCCGTCCGTCCGTCCGTTTTCCTCCGCTTCATCCGTTGCTGGGTCGCGGGGGCAGCAGTCTAAGCAGAGACGCCCAGACTTCCCTATCCACACACACTTCCTCCAGCTCCCAGGCCAGCTGAGAGACATAGTCCCTCCAGCGTGTCCTAGTTCTTCCCCGAGGCCTCCTCCCAGTGGGACGTGCCCGGAACACCTCCCCAGGGAGGCGTCCAGGAGGCATCCGCAACAGATGCCCGAGCCACCTAAACTCAACTGGTTCCTCTCGAAGTGGAGTAGCAGCGGCTCTACTCAGAGCTCCTCCCGTGTGACCGAGCTCCTCACCCTATCTCTAAAAAAATGCTGTCAAACCATTCACATATTTAACCACATTAATGTCTTAACTCGGAACGATCACAATGAATCACATATTCACACATTGCTATCGGTCGAGAAAAAAGATGGCGGAGCAGTGAGTGTCCCGGCTGAAACCCCCCGTGCTTTTTGCTATTAAAACTAGTCCAATCTACAATTAATCAACTTCCACAAGCCTTCCTTGCGCAAGATAAACTTGTTGTTATGGTGAGTTGACCTTCTTATGTCGAGCTCCACTCGTTCACAACCTAAAATGAGCAAGCGACAAATAGACGCTGAAGCCTCCACTCGTGTCCTCACTGAGGCCTATCTGGAATCTACGCTCGAAAAATTCTTCAAACGAGCTGAGGACTACTCCAAAGAGAGATTTGAGCGCCTGGAGGAACAACTTTGCTCGATCAAAGATACGTTATCTCAGCATGCGATTGAGATTGAAACACAGCGTACTGCAGTTGCGGCCATTGATTCCCGTGTCCACCAAAACACTGCATCCCTGGTGAAACTCACGGAGGCTCTAAAACAAATGGAGATTAAACTTGTCTCGTTTGAGGACAGAAGCAGGCGTGACAACATACGTATCCTGAACATTAAGGAAGGGGAAGAACGCGGGAATATGATGTCTTACCTTGCAGCGAATCTCCCCAAATGGCTACCTGGATTATCCTCGTCTCCACCTGAGCTCATGCGGGGCCACCGCATGGGTCGACCGCGTCAAAACTCCTCTACCAGGGCGATCATCGTAAAGTGTCTTCGCTTCACCGATAGAGATCAAATCCTTAACGAGGCAAGGAAAACCCCGGTGCAGCTGTCTGGGAATACCATCCGCTTTGTTCCTGACTACAGTGACAGTACATCCCGACGGAGACGTCCCTGTTATCCAGTCATGTTTCAGGCTCGGAGCAAAGGCTTCAGTGCTTTCCTGCTTTACCCTGCAACTATCAAACTGGAGAAGGGCGGCGAACAACACCTCTTTGAGAGTCCTTCTGAAGCTGTGGAATTCATCTCCAAGCGTTAAACCTCCGAGAAGTACTCTCCGGTAAGACACCTCTGACTTTTTTATCAACAAGTTGTGCGCGTGGGGAGTTGTTTACTTCCATACGTGATGACGTCACTGGCCGGTGAAGCGTCACGTTTACCAGACTCTATACTGCCAATAATTTTGAACTGGACTGCATTGCTGCATACTTCACACCATATCACCACATACATTCTGTCTCCTCTTGTCCCTATATATATGTATATAGTGTTTTTTTGTGTTACTTAAAACCAGTAAATAGTAACTGTGGATGGACATGGATCAAATGGGTCGATTATTGTTTCTCCTCTAACTAAATAAGCTTTTTTTTTTTTTTTTTTCCTAGTTTTCTAACTGGTGTTAATTAAAATAAGTGAATAGTAACTGTGGATGCACATGGACCAAATGGGTTGAATAATGTTTTCTCGTAACTAAATAAGGATTGTTTATTTATTTATTTATTTATTTTTATTTTCTCTAGTTCTCTAACTTGGGATTTCAGGGAGGGGGTTTCTGGGATTTTTTGGATAGTTTGTTTTTTTGTTCTCTTCCTTATCCTTGCTCCTGCCAGTCTCTTTTTAAAGACTGACATGTCTGTCTGTGTTTGTATGAATGTGTTTCTTTGTTTTTTGTTTTTTGTTAAAGCTCCTCCATGCTCGCTTCTCCTCCTGCATTGTCACATATATCTAATGATTAATAAATGATAATGGCAACAAAGGAACTGAAAATAATTCATCTGAATATTAGGAGCATAGTGTCTAAAATGGACTCTCTCAGACTGTGGTCACATCAATACAAACCTAACATAATCACTATTTCAGAAACGTGGCTGCACAATGAAATCTCAGATGATGAGGTAAAAATGTATGGATTTGTTTTGCATAGATCGGATCGAGGTTCAAGAGGAGGTGGTGTAGCAATATATGTATCCAATAACTTAACCTCAGTTTGTGTCTTCCCAACTGTTGAGCCAGTTAACTTTGAATGTTTATCTGTTGATATTCACTTTCATGCCAACAAACATTTAACTATCACTAATATCTATAGGCCCCCGTCTGCTCCGGCTGACTCTATGAAAGATATACTCTCTACAATTAGTTCATTTAAAAAACGTAATGAAATGATCATCTTGGGTGACTTCAACAGTAACTGGCTCCACTGCTCATCCTCAAGAGAAAGAAATCTTATTAATAGCGTTAATCTGACCCAATTTATCACTGAACCTACTCGAATAGATGCACGTTCCTCCTCACTACTGGATTGGATCCTGGTAACCCACCCAGACAGAATCTCCTCTTCTGGTGTCATGGCCGACTGCTTCAGCGATCATTCCATTGTATTCTGTGTCTGGAAAATAAAACTTCCCAAAGCTCCCCCAAAAACTATCACATTTAGACAAACCAAGAATCTGAATGCAGAAATATTTATTAATGATGTATTAAATATTAACTGGGACCGGTTTCAACTCATTCCAAATGCTGAGGATGCGTGGAACTATTTTCACTCTGAATTCACCAATATTATCAACAAACACGCCCCTTTCAAAACGCTTCGTGTAAAAGGTCGACACCTGCCCTGGATCAGCCCCGCTCTTCTTCTTCTCTGCAGAAAAAGGGACGCAGCATGGGAAAAACACAAACAAACAAAACATCCGGTTGATTGGGAAACTTACAAATCACTCAGAAATCACTGCACAACACAAACAAGGAACTCCAAATCTGAATATTTCAAAGAGGGATTTGCTCAAAACATGAACAACCCGAAACAATTCTGGGCCCAACTTGATCTGGTTTTAAACAAATCTAAAAATAAACTGACTGAACATGTTGTAGTGAACAATGAAAATATATCAGATCGAATAAAAATATCTCAAGCATTTAACGAACATTTCTCTTCCATAAACAGAATAATCCCTAACAACTCTGTGTCTGGTGATTGCCAAAATACATCTCGTGCTGGTCCCTCTTTCTCGTTCTCAAAAATATCTCCACTTACTGTTTATACTTGTTTAAATGAATTAAAACCAAACTGCGGAGCTGGTCCAGACAATCTTGAAGTTAAGTTTCTGAAAATTGCTGCTCACGTCTGTTATGTAGGTGACTATATTTACGGTAGCTCAGGAACACAACGCACACACGGCTGTTCATTTCAATGGTTTACTTAAGAACACTTTTTCTGCCTGGGTTGCCCCAGTACAACTGCTGTACAGTATTTTAGTGCCACCTAGTGGTCACGGGTAGAATAAAATCATACATACATAACATTTCCTCCCAACTAAAATATGAGGTACTTCCACAATGCCAACAAAGAATTAAGAACATTGTAATTTCCAGTACGGAAGAACTAATACAATTACAAATCAATAAACATTTCTTAAACCCAGATACGTTAAATTACTCAACACGGTAACACGCTGGTGGTTTTGTTTGTCTCACTGGATAGCGTGAATGTCTAGCAGTCTCTGCAACTTTAGAAGGTTCAGCCTTGTCCGGTCCACTGGAGCGAGGTGTCTGAGTGTGCTCGAAATCCCCAAGAACAGTTGGACCCTTCACGTCCATGCGTATCGGATTGAGGTGTAGCAACATCAGCAACATTTGAAGTTGCCTCGGGGAAGTGTGTATTAAGGTGGATTGCCGAACTTGGAAGAAGGAGGACAGCAGAGCCGGCCGCGTCTGCGTGCGCCTGCTCTGTGCATGGCAATATTTGATCCACGTGTCGTTTCCACACTTTGTCAGCTCCTACCATGACCTCATATGACACTGGTCCTGTTTGTGTCATTACCAACCCTTGTGCCCACTTCTCCTCCCCTCTCCGGTAGTCCCGTACAAGGACAGACTCACCCACTGCAAAGTGTCTGGCCTTGGAGCGCTGTTGACGGCGCTACTGCTGGGCGACCTGAGATTGATGAACAACGCCAGTCACACTGGGTTTAAGAATGTCCAGTCGTGTGGGCAGTGTGCGCTTTGTGAACAGCATAGCGGGTGGTTCTTTTGTTGTAGCATGAGGGGTATTACGGTACGTCAACAAAAATATGTCCAGACGCTGTTGAATTGGTGCGGTGCCTCTGGAGGATCTGAGGGCATGTTTGAACGTTTGCACAAATCGCTCGGCCAGGCCATTTGTAGCCGGGTGTATGGTGCGGAGCGAATGTGCTTGACTCCATTTGCTTTCAAGAATGTGGCAAATTCCTCTGAGATGAACTGAGGCCCATTATCACTCACTAGGATGTGAGGGACCCCGTGACGACTGAATAAGCCTCTCAGTACATTGATGGTCTTATTTGCAGAGGTGCAATCCATGATTTGCACTTCGGGCCATTTGGAATGGGCATCCACTACCACCAGATACATATGTCCTTCAAATGGCCCAGCAAAGTCCACATGAATTCTTTCCCAAGGACCGGAGGGCCACACCCACGGGTGTAGCGGGGCAAGACTGGGCTCTTTTTGTATGCGCTGACATGAATGGCATGATTTGGCCTGGAGCTCAATCTGAGAGTCAATGCCTGGCCACCAGACATATGAACGTGCCAAACTCTTCATCCTCACTACCCCTGGGTGTGCAGTGTGTAGCTCATTGAGCACCCTGAGCCGTAGCTTGGGTGGCACCAATACTCGCACGCCCCACATGAGGCATCCCTGCTGAATTGTGAGTTCATGTCGGCGAGTCAGATAAGGTGACAATTCAGACTCTGTGTTTTTCATGTTTGGAAATTGACCAGTGCTGACCATCTCCAATACAGTGTTGGGTCAGACATGGTGTTATGTCTGATATCCTTTGTACTGATTGGTAATGTCTCTAACTGCGACAAATAAAACACATCTACTGTGTCCAACTTGTCCCGCTCCGTGTCAGGGAGGGGCAGCCTTGACAGTGATGTGCAGACAAGAGGAGTGCCCAGCGCTGCATGCGGGCTGCGGCCATTGAAGGCGTACTTTTTACTGGACTGAGAAAGGAGGTCAATGGGCGATGGTCAGTTAGCAGTGTGAACTTGTCGCCATAAAGGTACTGGTGAAACTTGCGTACCCCAAAAACTATCCCTAGTGCCTCACGCTCAATCTGAGCATAGTTCTGCTCAGCCCGGCTGAGCGTTTTAGATGCATAGGCAATAGGTTTCTCTACCCCATCTGGCATGGCATGCGAGAGTACAGCACCTACCCCGTAGGGTGAAGCGTCACACGCTAAACGAGGGGGCAGCTCTGGGTTGTAGTGGGTCAGCACTTTTTGAGATACCATGAGTTCTTTCACTCTACGGAACGCCGCCTCACAACCAGTCGTCCACTGCCATTTCTTTCCCTTGTGCAGCAGTGCATTCAGTGGCTGCAGGATGGTTGCCAGATCTGGCATGAAACGTCCATAGTAGTTAATCATTCCGAGGAGAGAGCGTAGTTGACTTACATTGGTGGGTGCCGGTGCCTCCACAACCGCACGCTCCTTTTCTGGCGACTTGTGAAGCCCAGCAGCATCAATAGTGTGGCCTAGATACTCTACCGACTCCTGGAAGAACATGCACTTGTCCTTTCTGACATGGAGGCCGTACTCCTCCAGCCTCATGAGAACGGCATCCAAAGCCTTCAGGTGGGTTTCCTCATCCGGCCCACTAACCAGAATATCATCCAGATAACAGTGCGTGCCTGGTAGTCCAATTAGCACTCGATCCATAGCCTTCTGGAACAATGCCGGTGCTGACGCAATCCCGAATGGCAACCGGTTATAACAGAAAAGTCCTTTTTGTGTGGAAACAGTCAGTAGCTTCCTCGACTCCTCCACCACTTCCATTTGCAAATATGCGTTGGACAAGTCCAGTTGGCTGAAGTGCTGACCTCCAGCCAGTGACGCAAAAAGATCCTCAATTTGTGGAATAGGATACTTGTCCACACAAAGCGCTTGGTTGAGGGTAACTTTGAAATCACCACATAGTCTCACTGTGCCATCCTTTTTGCTTACCGGAACCACTGGTGTAGCCCAGTCACTATGCTCCACCGGTGAGATTACCCCAAGGTCAGTGAGGCGAGTCAGTTCAGCCTCCACTTTTGACCTCAGAGCATAGGGCACATTACGTGGTGGGCAAAATTTGGAAATGCTGTCAGGTTTAAGAGTCACTCTTGCCTTAATGCCTTTCATTAACCCCAACTCATCAGAGAAAACAGCAGAATGCCGCTTAAGCACAGCATCTAAGCTGTCCTTTTTATCTGATTGTTCACCATATACAGTTTTTACATCTTTCCAGTTAAGCTTAATAGCCCTAAACCACTCTACCAAATAGAGGCGCTGCGTTCACCTTAACCACATACAATGGTAGCTGAGCTGTTTGCTTATTTAGCTTAACATTCACATGTATAACCCCTACAGGCAACAAAGATTCACCAGTGAAAGTCCTAAGGACAACATCAGTAGTTTGCAAAGGCACATTTTTCATTGAACTTTTGTACTGATCCCATGAAATTAAAGATACAGCAGCCCCTGTGTCTAATTCCATTTCCATTTTCTTACCATTTACTTTAGGAATTACAGATATACGTGAATATTTTCCCTTGCTAGATAATGCATACAGTGGCATTTCATTATCAGAATCAGATGTCGTCTCTTTGTCACAGGTTTAAAAGTGTCTGTTGAGGGGGTGTGATCATAAAAAGGGAAACTGGATAAAAAGGGGATAAAATTTTATAAAATATTTACAAAAGGGATCCATAAAAGATGATTAAAAGCCCAGAGTCCGTCCCCACTGTCGTCCGCTCTTCTCACCCGGGACCGGGCCGCAGTTCCGCCAGCCACTAGCCGACCACGGGTCGGCACCGGGCACCCGCGGGGGAGAGCCGGCACATCCCGGTTGTAGTTGGGCCTAGCCCGGGCGCGCACGCGCCTTCATGCGCTGTCATTGCGCGCCCCCCTTACCGGTGCCCCTCCCCCCGCTGGCCTCTGGCTGGCGGTGCTCGTCCTCGTCCTTGGCCCGGTCCCGCGTCCTCCTCCTCTCGTCCTCCGTGTTCCCTCTCTCTCTGTCCTGTGTGTCTCGTCCTGCAGTGCCCGCCCCCAATTAAAAGGTCTTGATTAAAAGCAGGTGTGGGTGATTAGGGGAAGTGTCCAAGGAACTGTGATTAAAATCCATGCATTAAAAATATAAAAACACAAAACACATCACACAAATAAAAGCAGTAAAAGCAGTTAAAAGTCATTTTTTTAAAAGTCCACTTTCCCACATCTTCACTTGTACTGTCATTGTCGCGAGCCTCCACACGGTGCACTTTCCTTTTTTCATCTCTTGCGCTGTACTTGGATGTGTGGCTTTTCCCTTTTAACTCAGTTTTTCCATCCCTGTAATTCCTCTCTTTGACAAAGTCATTCTTGTATTTACTTTTTAGTTACTGCGTAACAATTTTACCACGGCCAATCACACTTAGCAGGACCGGCACTTTTTTTGCTTCATTTATCTCATTTGCCAGGACATAGTTTTCAAAACGTTCAATGTACGTTGTCCAAATCTCACCGGATTCCTCAAATGGTTCCATATCGCCAATTAGTCCCGCCATGGTGCGTTTTTCTGGTTCTTTTACCCTTTCTTCTGGTTCTGATCCGCTGCTGCTCATACTTTAGCAACTCTAGTCAGAGGGCTTGCACCAACTAGCATAGCCTCGGCTGCGTGGATGACTCAACACAACTCGTAGAGAGAAAAAAAAAACTTTCACGCAGGTACTCGATGATAAAAAAAATAAAAAAAAAGTTTCTCTTCCACACCTCCTTGCCAATTTGTGTTATGTAGGTGGCTATATTTACGGTAGCTCAGGAACACAACGCACACACGGCTGTTCATTTCAATGGTTTACTTCAGAACACTTCTTCTGCCTGGGTTGCCCCAGTACAACTGCTGTACAGTATTTTAGTGCCACCTAGTGGTCACGGGTAGAATAAAATCATACATACATAACAACGTCCTTATGTTTCCTTTATCCGACCTCTTTAATCTGTCAATAAAAACCTCAACAATTCCATCAGTTTTTAAAACTGCCAGAGTCACTCCTGTTTTCAAAGGAGGCGATCCCTCAGACCTGAACAACTACAGGCCAATATCCATCATCTGCGCAGCTGCTAAGCTTTTTGAAAAAATTATATTCCAACAGTTAAATCATTACATGAATGAGTTCAATATACTTTCTCCTTTTCAGTCTGGTTTTCGTTCAGGGTTTTCTACAACTACTGCTCTATTAAAATTCACGAATGATGTTTTTTGTTCTTTTGATAAAAATATGTTTGTGGGCTCTATATTTCTGGATCTGTCCAAAGCCTTTGATCTCGTCGACCACTATTTATTACTTGACAAACTCTACGCAATAGGCCTCGACAGAAATGCTATTCTCTGGTTCAATTCATATCTTCACTGTGGATTTCAATATGTTGTTTCACATGGTGCACAATCAGGGAGAACTGTAGTTGAAAAAGGTGTTCCACAGGGTTCCACATTAGGCCCCCTTCTTTTTTCCATTGTTAATAATGATCTCCCTAACGTCATTTCCAACTGCTCCATAAATATCTACGCCGATGACACCGTTATTTACAATTCAAACTCTGACATCACATCTCTCCAAAATCTATTGCAAATCAATTTTAACTCCATACAAACCTGGCTTTCAAACAATAAATTAATTTTAAACATGAAAAAATCTTGCTGTATACTGTTTGGCTCTCATCACAAATTACTCCACTCCCCAGATCTCCATATTCACTTTAACGACGGTTCCAAAATGCTCAATGCAGACACAATCAAATATCTCGGCCTCTGGCTAGACTGTGTGGACTGTGAGGCGCTTTGTGTTGCCCTGTGCAGGAAAAGCGCCCTATAAATAAAGATTGATTGATTGATTGATTGAATCAAATATCTCGGCCTCTGGCTAGACCCCAAACTTAACTTCAAACACCACATCAACTCCATCATCAAAAGAACTTACGCCACAATGGGCCCATTATTCCGATCATCCCACTGCTTTACCCTCAATGTCAGAAAACGCATCATTACACAACTGGTTCTCCCCATCATCGATTACGCTGACGTCATTTATCAAAACACATTTCACACCCATCTCAAACCACTCAATACACTTTTTAACTGTCTTTGTAGATTCATTCTCAAATGTCCATATCACACACATCACTGCACTCTGTACGAGAACCTTCACTGGCTTCAACCTCACAACAGACGTCACCTTCACTGGATGCACTTATTCTTTAAATGTATTCATTTTAGTTGTCCGCAGTATTTAAAACAGTATTTTGTCCCCTTCTCTACACCTTTTTCACTCCGAATCTCTGATTGTCTCACCTTTTCTGTTCCAAGAGTTTTCAAAGAAGTTGGACGCAGATCATTTCAATATAAGGCTCCATCAGACTGGAATAAACTCCCCACATCCACACGATCCATTCTGTATTTTGGTTTATTTAAGTTTGAATTATTTAGGTTTCTTGAAACTCCTTGTTTATGTCACTAATGTTTTGTGTCATTATCGTTAATAGTTTTACTTATTTTTATTTATTTATTTTTTTTCTTTCCTATATGTTTATATGTTTTAGCAGAGGGGAGGAGTGGGGTGCAATGGAGCATTTGTTTTGTTATATTTTGTTGTTGTTGGTTTTGTTTGTCTTTGTGTGTGTTTAATTAACTTTTCTCATCTTTAATTCACTGTAAATTGCTTTTTGTGTATGTGTGTTTGTTTATATGTTTGTATTTATGTTTAGGACCCCCTCGAAAATGAGATGATTCATCTCAAGGGGCTTTCCTTAATAAACTTAAACTCTAAGGGAGCGCCCAGCCACTCTGCGGAGGAAGCTCATTTCGACCGCTTGTATCCGCGATCTCGTTCTTTCGGTCACTACCCAAAGCTCATGATCATAGGTGAGGGAGGGAACGAAGATTGACCGGTAAATCGAGAGCTTCGCCTTTCGGCTCAGCTCCCTCTTCACCTCGACGGCCCAATACAGCGACCGCATCACTGCGCACGCTGCACCGACCAGCCTGTCAATCTCACGCTCCATCCTTCCCTCACTCGTGAACAAGACCCCGAGATACTTGAACTCCTCCAATTGAGGAAGGACTGCTCCACCCACCTGTAGAGGGCAAGGCACCTTTTTCCGGTCGAGCACCATGGCCTCAGATTTGGAGGTGCTGATTCTCATCCCAGCCGCTTCACACTCGGCTGCAAACCGTCCCAGTGCATGTTGTAGGTCCTGGTTTGTTGGAGCCAACAGGACAACATCGTCCGCAAACAGCAGAGGATGAAATCCTGTGGTCCCCGAACCGGACCCCCTCCAGCCCCTGGCTGCGCCTAGAAATTCTGTCCATGAATACAGTGAACAGAACCGGTGACAAAGGGCAGCCCTGGCGGAGGCCAACATGCACCGGGAACAGGTCTGACTTACTGCCGGCAATGCAAACACAGCTCTGGCTCCGGTCATACAGGGACCGAACGGCCCTCAGCAGAGGACCCCGGACCCCGTACTCCCGGAGAACCCCCCAAAGAACACCCCGGGGAACACGGTCGAACGCCTTCTCCAAATCCACAAAGCACATGTGGATAGGTTGGGCGAACTCCCATGAACCCTCGAGTATCCGATGGAGAGTATAGAGCTGGTCCAGTGTTCCGCGGCCGGGACGAAAACCACACTGCCCCTCCTGA